GTTTCTCAAGTGCTTCGATATGGAAAACTCAAAAGTTATTGACACTCCAATGCCTACTGCGGTTAGCCTAGATCGGGATGAACATGGTAAGCCGGTTGATGTAAAAAGGTATAGAGGTATGATTGTATCTCTTCTTTATCTTACCCCTTCTCGTCCCGACATTATGTTTAGTGTTTGCATGTGTGCTAGATATCAATCTTGTCCTAAGGAGAGTCATCTAAAAGATGTAAAACGTATACTTAGGTATCTTTATGGTACTCCTAAGTATGGACTTTGGTTCTCCAAGGGTAGTGATTATTCTTTGGTTGGCTATTCTGATTCCGACTTTGCAGGTTATAAATTGGACAGGAAAAGCACAAGTGGCACTTGTCATTTATTTTCAAACTCCTTAGTAAGTTGGCAAAGCAAAAAGCAAGTTTCAGTTGCTTTGTCAACGACCGAGGCGAAATATGTTGCAGCCGGTAATTGTTATGCTCAAATTTTGTGGCTCAAACAACAATTACTCGACTATGATTTAAAACTTAATCATATTCCAATATTTTGTGATAACACAAGTGTCGTTAATCTAACCAAAAATCCAGTTCTACACTCGCGCACTAAACATGTTGAAATTAGGCACCACTTCCTTAGGGATCATGTAGAGAAAGGTGAAGTCGTGTTTGAGCACGTTGATAGCAAAAATCAACTTGCCGATATTTTTACAAAACCACTAGCGACCGAACCATTCTTTCATATTCGTAGGGAACTCGGTGTCCTTGATATTTCAGATAGATTGCAACTCCAATAAGTTTCATTCCCTTTATTTATCTTTGTGTCTCAATGATTCGTGAATATTATCTTGGGCTGGCGACATGTGAGGGCATTGTGTCATTCAAATACATTCGGTAATATCCTTCCTACTCTTTCTCATTAGTGATCATTTTGCTTAAATGTTGGTGCTATGAAATGATTAATTGCTTTGTGTGTTATTGCTTCTGCACATGCTTACTTTTTTATTGTGTTTAATTAATATCTACAAAACCTACATGCCATGAAATACAAGAAATTTCAAAATTTTACATACATGAGCCGACCTATAACTCTGAGCGGTCGGTGCACGCCTAATTGAGAAACATATTTACGCCTATTTTACTGGAATGCATCGACGCATCCATGCATAGGTCGACGCTTCACGGCTTGGAAGCACATCATATCCTAGTTTGTATTGTGTGGTTCAAATTGCATGCATCCATTTGCTGCGTTGTTATTCCCTCTTGCTAGCATTCATCCGACCTCCCTCTCCAAATCTCAAAACCCTAACAACCCATTATTTCATTTCAACCCCAAATCTCTCCAAACCTTCATCCATGGATTATAGGGAAACAAAGAAAAGAAGTATCAAAGGTAGCTCTTCAAATCAAACTCAGGTTACTCCTCTATCACTTCTTCCCTCTGATCTCACTGAAAAATATGATGAAAAGTTTGCTAGAAGAAGGTTGGTTAGGCAATTTTGTGCCTTCCGTAACACTCTCAAATGCCCGCACATCTCAGATGTGGTGGAATTGTTGGACCATCAAAAGGTGTTTCCATTCCTTGAGTTGGATGGAGACTAGAACAAGGTACTCGTCAAGGTATTTTATGCGGGTATACAAGGTAAATTTTCTGATCACCAATTTTCATACAGAATTACTGATAAGGTTGTCAAAGTAGATGCTGAAATTTGGAAAACTTTTGAGTTGTTCCTAGTTGACACTGATACTGTTAAAATCACCAACATTAAGCTTCCTGCAGAATATGACTTCAAACATGCCTTGAACTCCATGTTAAAACGACCATATCCTGAGAATTTTGTGTAAAGTAGTGCTTTTCCAAAAACTGTACAATAGGTCAATTGGTTCCTATTGCTCGAATTATGCAATGGATTGTGTCAAGGATAATTCGCCCCAAAAAGGGTGGGTTGTCCCGTATTGATCAACCTGGGGTTATGTTAATTTGGGTCATTCTAAACAAAATTAAGATAAATTGGCCATATTACATCACTAGCCGGTTATTTGCATTGAGGGATTCCCCTAGAGGAACTGCCTTGGGGTATCCATCATTCATTCATGGAATTCTAAGTCAAGAAAACCTTGATCTTACTGGTATTTCACCTACACCTATTCTATCGAATTCAGATTTTACCTCAAAAACTCTAGCACTTATGGGTCATCAATGGAATCCCCAGCTTGGTAAGTACAAGTACTTTGTGAAGTCTAACTTAGTAATAGCTTGAAATGAAGATGTTGAAATGGAAGATGCTGAGGGCGATGAAGTTGGTACTGAGAATCAAGAAAGTGCTGAAGAGGAGGAAGAAACCGACGAAGGCAATGATGACCATGAGCCTCATAGATCCTATAATGAAGTGATGCGCAAACTTGAGGAAATGCACGTCAACCATCATGAAGACATGGTATTAGCAATTGAACGAATTAAAAATCTTGCTAGAATAGTCAACCTTCAAAATGTTCAGTTCAATAATTATGCTAGCCTCCAAGACCACTGATATAACACTCTTCATGAAATGATGGAAACAAAAAACACAAACCTGGCAAAATTTCAGTTGGCTTTCATGGCTCGCTTTCCACCAAACCAACCACAAGACAATGAGGAACAACAACATTAGTCAATTCTTGGTACATTATTTCTTGCTTACTATGCTTATATTATCATGGTTTTGTATTAAACTGCTTTTACTTCCCGTACTACTTTGTGTTTTATTTTGGGTTTGTAACATTGAACATCATATTGTTTTACTTTATTGGTTATTGCTTCTATTATCGTTTGCACTTGCTTCATATTGTGTGTATGTGATTTTGTGTTCTTTTTGCAAAGTTGTAAAATATTGGTCACTCTATGTTTTTGGTTCCCTTAATCCATGTCCTTGTTTCTTTTTGATGTTGTCAAAGGGGGAGAAGGAAAGGAATACACAGCCACAACAGAAATATGCAATATCTCAGGGGGATAATTGGATGATTTGCAAGGTTGACTCGCAACCACTGAGACGATTCATATTTGCGGTTTTTGCCATCATCAAAAAGGGGGAGTATGTGAGGGAAAAAGTAGGCAAAAGTGAAATAACTGAGTTTTTTAATGATTGTCAAAAACCTGTCTGTGCAAATATGTCATGCTTCAAACAGGTGCAAGTGAGAAACATAAAAAACAAGCATCAAAACGGATTGCATGAGCCGGCTCATGGAACCTTAGGTCGGCTCATGATAAGAAGATTTTGGCTTGGGAACATCCGGGAAGGCGCACGCCTTCTCTATGCATCGACGCATGGTTCTGGGATAACATGAGTCGGCGCATCAGGGAATGAGTCGGCGTATGACTAGAGGAATTTCAATCTCTCTCGCTCAGGAAGGCGCACACCTTCTCTATGCATCGATGCATTATTCTGGGAAAACATGAGTCGGCGCATCAAGCAATGAGGTGGCGCATAACTGAGGGAATTTCAACCTCTCTCTCGCTCGGGAAGGCGCACGCCTTATGTATACCCTGCATGAGCTGACTCATCGCTATTCTGTCTTAATTTTCTGCTATGTTGTTATATCATAGGAATCACACACACACACACACATACACACACACACACACACACACACACACACACACACACACACACACACACACATATATATATATATATATATATATATATATATATATATATATATATATATATATATATATATATATATATATATATATATATATATATATATATATATATATACTATTTTTGGCCTCTATTTTAAACAAAACAAGAAAAAGTGAAAGATAGACACCAGAGCTCTCTTCATCTTCAACCTCTCATCAACCATCAACAATTACACACAATCATTCTTGTTGATTAAGTTCTTGGGTTTGTGTTGATAACGTCCGAATTGAAAGTGTAATTTCAGATTTGGGTAGAGATCTTTGTGGGTTTTTTCTTGAATAAAACCATTGGGGTTTTGTCCTCCAAAATTGGGGTTTTTTATCATAAATATTTGCTTCATTGAATTCAACCGAGCTAAGGGATTGGAAGACCGTGGGGTATTCAATCGGGTAGCGGTAACCGGAGGATTGTGAAGAAGGATTTGGGGCCAATTTATTGGGTACAAAATCATTCAAGGTAGAAGAAGTTTTTTTTCAAGATTTGGAATACTTGATTCATCTAGAATCAAGGGAAGAGGAGTGCAACATATAAGATTCATCAAGTGACTTTGAATTATGGTGATTGTATCTTCTCTTACAAACTTTGAAAAGTTAATTTCATATCCTAATTCTATATTCTAGAATTGGGGGCAGACTAGTCCATGCGAGGACGACAGGGTGAACTGCCTTAACAAATACCGTGTCCATTATAGTTTTCTGCATTTTATTCCTATCTGCTTGAATTTGTGAGTTACCAATTCCTTCATTCATACAAAATAATTGTAGTGACAAACTAAAACTTTACACCTCATATAGCATTCATTTAAATTGCTATAACCACTACAATTTGAGTATAACCAAACCTTGTGTAGTATGTACACCAAGTGTTTGGTGAATTTACAACTCACAAATTTGCTTTATCTTCTCCGCAACTAATTGGTAATAACTTACACCTTGTTAAAACTTGCTAAAGCGATTCATCATATTCAATTTTAGTTGTGATTCTATTTTCATCAAATTGGTTTGCATATCCGATCTTTCCAATACGTAAAGTTTAGACGATCATATTCAGGGCTTCCGGTCTCTGATAATTTTTTTTATAAAAAGCGCAAAATTTTTAAAAGGGATCTATTCAACCCCCCCCCCCCCCCCTTCTAGATCCGTCACATCGTCTAACACATATAATCAAACTTTAAATATTTCATAACACACAATATTTACTAAATACTTGACTGTAAGCAAGTCAGATGTTAAAACCATACAAATATAAAGACACATAGTAAACATAAACAAAATAAACACACAACTGATCCTTCTTTTCCATTACATATCCAACACAATCAGTTTCACTGTCTCTTCTTTCTCGGATCAACATATACCAGTATTTCATCGGCTGATGGATATCGAATGCAAAAATGCATGATGTATCCTTTCTTTAATTCTTCCTGTTTAGCAAATTCATACCAACCAGTCGTGAGATACTTCTCGCCTTCATCATTATTCCTCACTTTCACTACACAATTCTCTGAGATACCCTTCTCCGAACCATATAACTCAATCGAGCTGATCGGTCCACTAAGGGACTTCTTAATCACTCCATGCGATAGTTGCTGGAAAAAAAGATTCATAAATTAGATGATGTTCAACCCTGAAAAAGATAAATATACCGTTGCAACAATTAACTTCTACTGCTTACCAACACATTCCTTCTCATAACCTTAGAATTAGATACAACCTTGCTCCATGTTTCTTCATTTTCTTCGACATATATTGGAGTAAATGTCCTGATTCAAGCACAAACCAAATATATACATACTAAGGGAGAATTGATTCTTGGAATCCATCACTGCTTCTTGACTGCAACGACCAAGTCTTCTCCCCATATTTGACCATTCCTGCATTTATAATAGGAACATTGACATATTTAAGGGGATGAGTGTTCCATGATCAGTAAATAACATAAATTGCAATTGCTAGCTGATAGAGTAACTACAGCATATGTCGTGGCCATAGTTGGTTGTCCTCAAGGGATATGTAGGGAAACCATTTCAACTAAAGTACGGGAAGAAACTCAATTCAGCAGTTTCGGTAAAACTAAGTTTGTTTCTATACAAAAAATCTTGACAATATATTTTAGCACCTCATTTAATTATCATTTACAATCTCATCCAAAAGACACTATTTAAATGATTTTAAAGAAGTCTTGCCATTGCAAATGCTCAAGTCTTTATAAACAAAAATCATGCTTAAATCAAGGATACCTAACTCGCTTGATTAGTTAAGTATTACTAAAGTTAACATGTACAAAGTATGAGGAAAGAAAGTTGAGAATTTAACTAAAATAAATGTATATATCAGGACAAATGACAATGACAGGATTAAATATCTCTTTAGAAAGTTGCTACTTACTTGCTAGCAACTTGCAAGCTAACAAATAGGCAATTTCTTGAAGGAAAACTCATTAGATGACACAAAAGGCTTGATAAGCAGGAAGTCATGCATGACACGAAATATACATAATCAAGGAAAAATGAAGAAAACTTTAAAGACTATATCAATAAAAATTTTATTAAAGAACTAATCCGCATACAGTAGTCAATTTCTTGAAGGAAAACTCATTAGATGACACAAAAAAGGCTATACATAGTCAAGGAAAAATCAAGATAGTCTCAAGAAAACTTTAAAGACTATATCAACAAAAGTTTTATCATATAACCATTCAACATACAATAGATGGATAACAATGTGAAAAAACTACAAATGTCCCAAGAAGCATGGTGATCTTCAATCTCCACCATTGGCTCGACTTGAGGCATGAGAGATATACCTGCAACAGTGAAGCCAGCAACACAACCTCCACGTCCATCAAGAACATAACAGGTTTCATCTGACACCAAACCTGCAACATCTGATATAGTAGCTGCTCCTTCTGATGCTCCTTGTCCTTCACCTCCTAAGATAGTCATAAGCATCCGCAACAGGATTGATATGCGAAAATGGTAAATACACACTGTGCACAACTATCTTCACATTGTGAATAACGTCAGCCCCCCTGGTTCTAAGCCTCTGTTCCACATTACATAGAAGTCTACTAATAAGATCCTTTTCCTTTGCTGATAGTTTAGCTTCTTCTAGATATTTTAAATAATTTCTCCAATTGACTATATGAAAATATGAAGGTAGGAGATACAATATGATAATAAAGATTTAAAATATCATAGGCAGTAAAAAGGAAGAAGATAGACCCATAATAGAATTTTAATAACTGACATGTGTCATCAAACTATAAATTATAAAATATCAGTACTGGTCAATAGGTTCAAATGTATAATGAGCCACGTCCTTGATACAACAATATCCTAAAAATATGGTAGCAGTAAAATATAATACTCTTCCTAAACCCTTAAAATGATACCAAAATCTTCATGAAGAATATATAAAACAGAACGAAGAATATACCAAAATTGTCTTCACAAACAGCTGCAAGGTGCTCTCCGTGACAGGTTTCAATAGCCAGCTTAACGAATTCGCGCGATCGATGAAAAGAGATAACACAATAAGATTTTTTGTCCGAATAGAATTTAGCAAGATAAAATGATTTGTATAATGTTAAAATGATGTTGCAATTCACCATTAGTAGCAACAGCAATAGCTTTCTCAGGTGTAGTCGGCATATTTTCTGCTGAATCTGCAGTGGTAGAAGCAGTTGGTATTATACTCAAATAATACAGCAGCAAAAATGTATAGCATACCACATCAGCACAAACAAAATCAAGCTCTTTCGTAAAGTTTTCTTTTCGCTTCTCCATCTCCGTAGCAGACTGGAGTGAACGCGAATATATCGAAGCATAATATCACAACAGTCAATATGCTTGAAGAAAACAACAACTTGATAGATAATTTCAAGATTGACACTTTTATAGCCGCAAAAAATAGCTGTTTAGTGAAGGTGTTATAAACATGTAGGAAATGTACCACTCTCCCGAACCATCAGTTTGATGACACCGATATACCAACATCTTCAACACCTGTTGTCGTTGGTGAGGAATATGTTGGAACACTGAGAATTTACATTAAATTGCATTCAGTAAACATCACACGAATTTCATTTCATTTTTATTTTATTTTTCTTAGTATAAGAGAATATGTAACACCTTAAGATCTTAGTGGATTACACGGTTAGAATGCAAGTAGTCCACCGCTATCAATAGTTGAGTTAGCCACTTTCATACCTTCTGCACTTCAAATTGAAATTCCAGAGTGAGTAATGAATAGTCATAATAAAATGTTAAGGAATTGACGATTAAGCTATTAATTACCTCCTCTGGAAAAAACGATCTGCAAGCTTTCTTAATGCTCTCGGCTCTTCTCCACAAAGAATACAAAGTACCATCGTTAAGACTTTGTGTCAATGATAATATATCTCTTTTATAATTAAACTTTTATCGTTTACGGAACACAAGAGGCATGGGACGCTGAGCAACTACAAGGAAACAATTATTAACTTTGACAGACAAATCAAGCCACTGAGACAACATTTTATAGAGCAACAATTTATAACAGTAAATTATATATCAAATCAGTACCTCAAAATACATTAATTGAAAACAAAACATCAAAATAGAAGTTGTTATAAGATGTTATAAGCTGTCAACAATCTATAATAGAATTTGTCAAACAAAATAAAATTATGAAATCGACGTCGCGATTATGTAAGATCAAAACATCAGTTACCAAATTTTTTTACCACAATCTTTCTACTGGAAACAGGATGGAAACACTACCGGCTTTTGTTGACCTTAATTCAGAAGTATTCTTGAAGTTATCAACCCTGTTTTTTCTGTTCATTTCAGCCAGTTTCAGAGCTTTGGCGTCCTTCACCCACTGTTTGTATTCCTCTTCAAGTGGAGCAGAGTCGCTTACCTTCCGTTTCCGTTTTGTGGGAGAGAAAGAAACGGTGGTGGAAGTAATGGTTTTGGGGGTTAGGGTTTGGAAGAAACAATGATAGTTGGTGGATGGAGAAACGGTGCGGCGGTTGTAGGAACGATTTAGAACACGCACATAATAGGAATATGAAGAGAGAGATAGAGCAGATGAATGAAAATGTAACTGCTATGCAGAGGTAGTGGAATGAGGAGAAAAACGTAACCGCTGTCAATGATGACTCAATGGAACAACATGTAAAGAAAAATTAAGATTTGAAATAAATTATTTTATGTTTTCTAATGAAGCTACATGATATGTTTTTGGAATAAAATGACAAAATAGACTTTTACGGTAGAATAAATTTTCTTATATTATAGATTAATGAGCATTGTATATTCGATCAATCATATTAGATAGATGTTTTTAAGTTAGTAATATATTTACTAATTAATAAAATTATGAATATTCATTAAAGTTCGAATATAATATTGTTTTTTTCATTATTAAATATAATTGAAAAAACATTAACTATATGAATTTCGGTTGTGAGAATGAAATACTCTAAGAAAATGAAATATAAATAGAAATAACACCACATCAATCAAGCAGGGTGTCATCAGTTTTCATTTCTATATTTTCTCTCTCAATTCCTTCTTTTAATCTCCCCCAACCATTTTCTCCATTTCAAATTACTCATAAACCTTTCTCCTCTTCCAACCCATTATGGTCTAGAAGCACAAATGCTTCGCCGGCGTCCTTGCACGCGACCGTGCCCACCACCTCTCTAGTTCCCCTCTCCCCTAAAAAATGATCCGCCAGCAACAGCTTCCAAACAACCGCCGCCGCGCCGGAGAAGTCGCCGGCAACGTGACGGCAGACTGCGCCGCGGTATGCTGCTGCGTGCCATGCGCGGTAATGGACATGGTGGCGCTTGCTGCGTACAAAGTTCCCGCTTGTTTGTGGAAGAAAGCGGCGAAGAAGAAGAGGACGAAACGGTTGCAGAAAAATAATAAGAAGAGCGAAACGGCACCGTTAGATCATAACAAACCTGACGGGCTTGGGCTTGGGCCTGAAACGGTTAATATCAGGCCCACGTTGGAAGAGCATTTGGCGAAGGAAGAGTTGCCGGGGGATGTTAAATTGGAAGAAGAGATGTGGGCCCGGTTCAGCGGAAACGGTTTTTGGAGGAGTGGTTCTATGAGTCAAGAACCGGAATTGCAAACCGAAGAAAAGGACCGTTAGTACTTTTTTTTAATAATTGAAAGAGGGGGTTATTGTAAATTGTATAATGCAAATTTTATGTTCAGATTTCAGATACAGGTGCTGAAATTTAAAAAGAATTCAATGCTTTGTTACTTTTTGTGTATTGTGATGTTGAGAGGGAATCATTTATGTGTTTTAATGGTAAGATAGTAATGAATATGCTTCAATTTTACAAATATCTTCTAACTAAAAATAGTAACAAGTTGGGGTTGGTGTTGTCATGAATTATCATGTCAAAGTCATTCAATGTCTTTTTTGCCTATTCATTGTTTTTTATGCTAGGTAAGTTTTCTCTCTTAAAAAGAGCTTAAGAGAGAGAGCAAAAAAGAGCTGATGAGAGAAGCTATCAAAATATTTCTAAAAATTTAAGCTTTGTATATATGAACCTTAAGATTTTCTAGGTTACACAACACAACATTCTTTTACTTTTTTTATATTTATGTATTATTTCTATCTCTCTTTCTTTGAGTGTTTTTTTAGTTTTTATTTAGAATCTTTGTTTGATGTCTTTTTGTCTCTTAAATACTTGGATTAGTTTTTTGGCATGAAATTGAAGGGATTGTAAATTGTTGTGTTGTTGATTAGTTGGAATTGTTTATACCTTTTAATTTTTGTTTTTATTATTAGCATGTGGTTTTTGGGGGTTGGTAGTGCAAAGCACAACCATGGTTTTGGGGTTGGTAGTGCAACAACAATGCAGAGCTTCAAACAAAGATTTGAATGTGGAGTACCAAAGAAAACGTTGTCGTTGTCGTTACTTGTGAGATTTACAGATTTAAGTGGAATAGTATTTGTGAGAAAAATGAACAGGTTGAAAATGGAAATTAATTTAATTGTTTTAATCTTCATTAAGATATATTCACTTTAATTTTGATTTAAGTGTTTTAATTATAACCGCAGATCTATCATTAAAATAAATGGATGGCTTATCACATTATTTTTCTCCAGTTTTTTTCCACATGAGACAATTCATTCCCATCTTTATATTATGTGTGTGGGGTAAAATTTACGAAGTTATTCAAATGGCTTCTTATATATATGACATTATTTCATACTTGCTGTTAATTTCTATATCTTGTCAAAATATTTTTGTTGTTGGTAATACTACAATATTAACGTGTAATTTGTTTAGTTATGAGTACTAACTGAAAAATTTCCAAAAAGTAATAGTTTTTAACATTAACTTGATATAATATTGTGGTAAAATAAATTATACTATTTCTGTTCTAATTAATTGATTTTTTTAGATTTTTTTAAACCAATAGATTAAATTAAAAACAAAACAAAAAGAGGATTACAAGAAAGGGGCCAAACCAAAACTTCATAAGAACAAAACCTAAGTCTAGGAGTATCTGCCTTGTCTAATAAGTAATTCGAAACAATATCTATATGGACAAAATTATACTAAGTGAAGCTTTTGCTTTTATGTTGATATTAGCAGAAAATCTACACAAAAATTGACCTCTCTAAAGATATGTGTGATCATGAAATCAATGTTAAGAGTATACGCCCAACACGTAAGTCAATAAATTTTGACTTTCCACGACACCAAAAGATGATTCGAAAAGGCTTTCATAACTAGTGTACAATCGGTTTCTAACCATAACTTCAACCAATTCAAATCTTTGACATTTTCAATGGCAATAACTACTGCCATGAATTCAGCATAAACCGAGGTTCCAAAATCCAAAAACGCACTGAAACTAACCAAGTGATTTGCATTTTCATCTCTGAAAAGTCCTCCACAAGCCGTTAGCATAGGTGAACCGGAAGTAACTCCATCAATGTTACACTTAATCCAACCACAAGGTGGAGGACTCCAAAGGACTTCAACAATGGTAGACATCTTACAAGGGTTAATGTTAATATCAAAACCCTTTAGCATGGAGAAGTTTGATATGGATGCATTGGCTTTCTTAGAAGTTAAGTTACCAACAAGTTTTGCACGGGCTGCAGTGTTAGAAATTCAAGACTTCCAGTGAATGCTTTTGTTGTCAAACTGAATTTTATTCCTATCCTGCCAAATTTGATAGGAAGAAAAGGCAATGTAGACTTTGATTACAACTAAGGATTGAGGATTCCAAGACTCTTCCAGAATTTTAGTACAATCCAAAAATTGGTTGATAGATAAAGGAAGTTGAAGTTTATCCCATAACCAATTCCAAATATGCTTAGCAAAAGAGCAACCAAAGAATAAGTACTCAGAAGTTTCAGAGGAGACATTACAGAGAGAGCATTTAGAAGGAAAAGAAACACCTCTTAAGTTGAGGTTCTCATCAGTGGGAATTCTGTTGTGCATGATTCTCCAAACAACCATTGAGCGTGAGGGAGCAGTATCTTTGTCCCAAGGGAAAGAAGACCATTTATCAGAAGGAGCATGATTCATGACCAAATTGTTAGCATGTTTGATGCTGAGCTTGTAACACCCCAATTCTACCCCGACAAATTACATAAATAAATCAGAGTTATAAAATTCAATCATGCAAACGAATCGGGACGTCACAAATTCTTCTATCAAAAATTCATTGCATTCATCATGGATATATAACACTTTTAAAATATTGGATGAACCATCATAACATCTTTAATTAAATAACTCAGCATCTACGCAGCGAAATTCTCAATAACAATTTTATCATCAATACAGCATCTTCAAAACAACACATATTTAATAATAATCAACTTAAAGTTCAACAACTGAAAATCAACAATCAAAAACAGCAAGCGTTCATCCACCAGAGTGTTACATATCAGAACAACGACACCGACTCGAACTACTGAAGGTATACAACCTTCACTCTTGATTACCTGCACGTTACCAACATAAGACAACATTCAAACAGAAGGGGTGAGATATCTAACAATATAATAAAGCGCATGATAATTAATATATTAAATTAGATCACATAATATCACCAATTCTCATCTCATAATCAACAATAATCACAACAATAATACACATTCACAACATCATTACACTCTTCTTCATGCAATCATATAATGCGACTCAATACTATGCAAATACATGTGGTACCATTGGAGCAGAACTCCCATCTAAATTTTTTTCCAATTAATAGAGGCATCAACAAGGCATACCCTTCATCTCAAAATTCGCCAACATAAGTCATCTCAACGAGCATAAGCTCCATCTCAAAAAAATGCAATGTATGCGATACAATCATGAATGTAATAACAACACCCAAGTTAACAACATCTCAAATTAACAACATCTCAAAAGCATCTTAAATTAACAACATCTCAAAATCATCTCAACGTCTCTTCATCAACATCTCATATCATCATAATAATTCATCAAACATCATTTATTTATTATAAATCATCAACACAACATCATTAACAACTTCTCACTAACAACTCAGCTATACATTAATACCATAATAATCCATGCTGTTATTCTATAATCTTACATCATTACTGTCACTAATCCTACTGTCATAATTCAAACAGCAGCCTCTAAGCATCTCCTCTTCATCATTCTGTATAAAACCAACGCAACGACCAACATGGGAATTAATTCTAAATCCTAAATTGGCTACTAGGATTACACTTCTTATTCTTCATTTTAATCCTCTAGAATAAAGTTCATCACATTAGCTATTCAACGCTTCGAACGGCATCCTAAAACTCAAGTTATAGCACTTTAAAACTGAATCTGCCAAAAATCAGGCATTATGGGTCAACGCAAAATCCCTTGGATCGACGCGTACTGCTCTAACTGCACAACATGAGTCGACGCATCCTCTCATGGATCAACTCATCCTGAGTTATGCACACAACATATATTGACACATGCATCCCACAGATCGACTCATCCTGAGTCTTTCATCCTTCATGTATCGACGTAAGCCTCTTCGTGTCGACTCATACTGAGTCTCTAGGCCCTCATGTATCAACGCATCAAGTTTGAGGTCGACACATCCTGATTCTTCCTGCATAATTCTACGATTTTCTTCCCTGCCTCTCACTACGGGATTCATATTTTAGCCCTACAAACTTAATATAATCATGATAAATCATCACCTACAATTATCCTATAATACTACATCGATCAAACAACATCGGGACATCATTATTCATCTAAAATTCATCAAATCTTCATCATACATCATCATATACGTTCAATTCGAGAACAAAACAACATCACCTCTAACCCCACATATCAATCATCATGAACCCAATTATAAAGCCAAAACCCCCACCCTTACCTTGGATTGAAGGCCGCTCCATAATTTTCCGATCGAATTCTTGTTCTGCCGTTTTTCCACTTTTCCAACAGCTTGCACGTTCTCCTCTCAATCCTTATTCTTCTACTACTTCTTTCTTTCTATTCCTCTAACAACAATAAAATAACCTATTATTCTTTATTCCTTATTGGGCTCAAAACTAATACACCCCCTTATTACTTCTATTCCTTCAAAATAAGCCCACACCAAATAATATTATAATTCTAATATTATTTCTCTATTTAATAAAATAAATCCAATTAATCATAACACATCTTCACAAATATTCCAAAAATAATTTAATTAAATAATTAATTAAATTACGGGCGTTACAGAGCTTGCCATTTTCCACGTTATTCCAAGCCAAGGAGTCTTCAATTTCCATCTCAGAAATGGCAAAAGGAGAAAGGGTTGACATGAGATTAGGCTGAGCCAAAAGGATGTTGCTATTAAAGGACCAAGTGTTATTACTCCACCAATCAGCAATTTTTAAAGTGAGGCCAGAGTGAAACTGGTCAGGAATTTTGTATTTGAATACAAGAGTTTCACCTGCCCAATTATCCAACCAAAAGTTTATTTTTCTACCATTGCCAATAATCCAAACACTATTATCAAGAAATTTTTTATAGCATTCCTTGATGCCCTTCCATAAGGATGATTTGGTGGAGTACCCAATGTTTTTATTGTTTCTTCTCACTCTTGCATCCAGAAGAGAGGACCAAGATTGAGTGTTGT